GGTGAAAGGAAAATCAAAACAGAGTTGGTGTCACTCAGAGAGTGTCTAGAAAGGAACTGGGAGGTCACGGAGGGTGACTTGTGCATGTCCCAGCCGAGGGGATCTGACCTGATGAAGTCATCCAGAACCCCTGCCGGAAACGGGGTGTATTATCGGACCCCCTACCCTAAAACAACTCGTGATTCTTTAAGGCCAAATATTTCCTGAGTCAAGTCAGGGTCAGGCACAATTCTCTCCAGGCAGCTGGTAACAACCTCGTGGCTTCTTGTCTTTCACAAGCCCATGACATTTCCCCTTCCTTGAAACACTCTCGGGGTTACCCTGAATCTGCATCTCCCGAATTGCCATTATTAAAATAACTAAGCCCTCTTGTGATGTGCAGCCCAATCAGGGGCAGCAAAGGCAAAGGTCTCCCCTTCCTGCTCCCCCCCCCCCGCCACCGGCCCCCAGCCCCGTGGACACAAGATTCCCGCGCCGCTGGCCTCACCTCATCCGTTGACTCTGGGCCTGGAGAGGTGCCCGCTGACGACACCGGGCGCAAATACCCCGAAGGAGCGCTCTTCTGTCTGACACTTTCCCGGGCTCCTGGGAGATGGGGTACGTCACCAAATGCCCCAGGGTTACGTGGACAAGGTAGGGGCGCCGCCCCCCGCCCTGGGAGCGTTCAGGTCCCTGCGTTTGTCAATCGGAGGAGGTGGTCAGGGGTGAGTCGTCCTGTGCTGGATGGGGCGGGAGTTGTGAGCTTGCAGGGAGAGGAAGGTGCCCACACTCTGCCCCCGCCACGTGTCTGATGTCTTGGTTTGTTGCTTGTTTTCTGTTTGGGGCTGGGAGTTATTAACGGTGCGGTATGATGGGGCCGGGGCAGGGGCACCTAAGTGTCCATCGATGGTGAATGGATAAAGAAAACATCTAACTCAACTTTCCAAAAGAAGGAAAGCCTGCCATTTGCAACAACGTGGAACGGCCTCCTTGAGGGCTGGTGCTAAGTGTGATACACCAGACGCAGGCAAACACTGCGAGGTCCTACCTAGCACCACCACCCTCGGACACGCGCCTTTATGAACACTTCCAGTTGTCCCTAAACCCAAAGGCTGGGCTGAGGTTAGAAACCCTGGCAGCCAGGGGCAGGTAGAGCTTGGGTTTCCTTTACTTCAGTGGTGAGAGGAAGGCCATTTCTTCCTCCAAATCTTGCACAGATGGAAAGACCTGGCAACATCTACTGTAGCTCCTCTGCTATAAGGTAGAGTTACAAAATCCACTACCAGCCTTTTCTTCTCCCATTAGTCTAAGAAAAATCTGAAAGGTACACACACTTTAATCTCTTCCTCCACAGATATGTGTGTATATATAAATATACAGTAATTTCATTTTATATGATACTCTTAATGGAAACACTACTTTTACAAAATGAGCAGACTGATTTCCATTTTTCCAAAATACGATATTTTATACACCTCATATACATTATTCCGTGTATATATTCTGTATATAAAGTGTTATATACGGAATTCTCCATAATTTTCTGAACATAAAATTATAATATGGTGGTACCTGGTATTATACCCTCTCTTCTGAATTTTCAAGAGAATTTTACATCATTATTGAGAACATCCTATACAGTATCTTGCAGGCTTCCACAGTTTGCAATAAATATACTCAGTATGAACAATTTCATTTTAAGAATTTTGAAGTGATTACCTTCACCTGCTTGAAGTGGTAGAGACAAAAACGAAACTTCAGCAAAAGAATAATCTTCTTCTAGAGCCACTTTTAGACTTCCTACTTCTGTCATTATTACTATTATCTGTTACTGAAGTACAGTTGATTTACAATATCCTGTTAGTTTCAGGTGTACAGCCCGGTAGTACAGTTTTATGTATATTGAGTATAGTCCCCTGTGCTATACAGTAGGTCCTTGTTAGTTATCTATTTTATATACAGTATAGTAGTATGTATATGTTAATCCCAACCTCCTAATTTATCTCTCCCCCCCTTTCCCCTTTCCCCTTTGGTGATCATAAGTTTGTTTTCTATGTCTGTGACTCTCTTTCTGTTTTGGAAATAAATTCATTTGTATGTTTTTTTTAGATTCTACGTATAAGCGATATCATATGGTGTTTGTCTTTGTCTGGCTTACTTCACTTAGTATGATAATCTCTAGGTCCATCCATGTTGCTGCCAATGGCACTATTTTATTCCTTTGTTTGGCTGAGTAATATTCTAGTGTGTGTGTGTGTGTGTGTGTGTGTGTGTGTGTGTGTGTGTGTGCGTATATATATCACATCTTTATCCATTCATCTGTCAGTGGACATTTAGGTTGCTTCCATCTCTTGGCTATTGTAAATAATGCTGTAATGAACATTGGGGTGTATATATCTTTCCAAATTATGGTTTTCTCCAGATATATGCCCAGGAGTGTGATTGCAGGATCATACGGTAGCTCTGTTTTTACTTTTTTAAGGAACCTCCATACCGTTCTCCATATTGGCCGAACAATTACGTTCCCACCAACAGTGTAGGAGGGTTCCCTTTTCTCCACACCCTCTTCAGCATTTGTTTTTTGTAGACTTTTTAATGACGGCCATTCTGACCCCTGTGAGGTGGTATCTCGTTGTAGTTTTGATTCGCATTTCTCTAATAATTAGCAATTTTGAGCATCTTTCGACGTGACTTTTGGCCATCTGTATGTCTTCTTTGGAGAAATGTCTATTTAGATCTTCTGCCTATTTTTTTGATTGGGTTGTTCCACTTCTTATCATTATTGAGACTATGGTATTGTGCCCAGAAAGATTCTCAAGCATTAAAATGAAAGGTAGAAAGAGCTTGTCAGCCACAAAGCTGTTGATACTGAACAGCCTTATTGATTCCAAATCCCAAGCAACTGTAGCGAGACTCCAGGGAGTGAAGCTTGTTTCGCTTATTTATTCTTTAGCTAACCCTTTGAAAGTCTCCGTGAGAAGCTATTAATTGCATTTTCCCCATTTTGATAGAACAGTTGAAACACCTGTGGTTCATTACAAAGCAGTAATTGAATGAGTGCTTTAAAGGAAACTATGGACCCTCTAAATACATTGACCTAAATGTACTTCAGCTGGATCCTAAACAGCCAGGAGTTCTTTTTCAAGTTATCGGTTTTCCAGGGTATGGCTGAAGTTGCAGGTGCGGAACAAATGCCACGTATACATGCACCCACGCACACACGTGCACACACACACACATTTTTGTGGTTGACTTAAATTCTTCCTTCAGAATATGAGAGGCTAGAATAAATGACTGCACAAAAACACATTCATTTCAAATTATGAACTAGCTATAATTAATGTGAGAGCATTGTGTGGTGAATTGAATAAAAACCTTATTCTGTTGGAGTTACATTTTTCTCCTTTATAAGAAATCAAGGCATCATGCATCTGGAGGGTACTTAATATTTCCTCTTTAAAATATATTTCTATTCAAGGAATGAAACATGATGTTGGAAATCTTGTGTTTTTGTCCACGTTGGGATCTTCCGAATCCAGATATATGTTAGAGGGGGTGGGAGTGAAGATTAATTTTGTTTAACTTCCCATCTTCCATCCCCTAGGTAACCTGTAGAGAGAAAGAATGCATTTCTCTAGAGGGAGAGTTCCATGAGAGCAAAGCAAAGAAAGTATCAGGAAGAAATCATAAGTGCTAAAATTGGCTTATAAAAGACATATTTAAAGGCAGATTTTTACAAGATTCATATTTTATGGTAGCTTTTTTTTTTAAAAAAAACTGCATTACGATAGCAGTCTTTGAACTTCTTTTTTGTTCATTGACTCCCTAGAATTTTGTAGAAGTATGTATTCCTTCACACATTCTGTACTGATAGTTCAAAGTTTTAATTATAAGTGTAAATAGTTACAACTGATGCATTTTTGGCATTTAGTATTTACATTTAAAAAACAGAACTGTGACATCACTCTTTCAAATGTATTGAATGGCATTTAAATTCCATGATTCGATACCCAGTCATCCGTTTTTAAAAATACATAAGGAAGCTCTTTTACAATATTTGAAAATTTGCCTTTTTGCTAAAGTATAATTTTCGAGAGGTAAAACAACTCTCGTGAAGATACATAATAAAGGTGGGCCAAAAATTTTATTCAACTTATTAAGAGGGAAGATACAGTGAGTCAGATATTGAGATCAGCTCAAAGAGTATTGCAGGACCGAGGTATTTAGAGGCGATTTAACATAGGAATGTTAGGGTAAGACTGCTGGGTTATACACAAAACTGGCTAACAGCCTATAGGACAATAAAGTATATCCTTCAGCGTTGTCAGCTGTTGAGAGTGGTGATCCAGCCGGACACTCAAGGCCCACATGCTACTGTGGCAACAGGCACTGGCCACCAGCTTCATTCACCACAGGGGGGACCCGCAGGGACCGCGTGAGCAGGGGCGCCGCCGGACGGAGGAGGGAAGGCCGGTCAGCCCCGCGCGGCGTCCAGGTTGCGCACTGCGCTAAGGAGGTGGGCCGGGCTCCGGTGAGATGGGGTACCAGGGCTCTCAGGGCAGTCCCCACGGGCGGGGGCACACTGACACTTCTTACTAGAAAGCGCTGCGGCTCAGGCGCGCTCAGCACAGTCCTGCCAGCGGCGCATGCGCGCACGCACCCGGCCCAGCGCGGTAGCCCTCTGCCGCCGCTCTTGCCCTCGCCGCGCGGTGACGTCACCGGTGGCCGACGCGCGAGGAGCCGGGCCTCCGAACGCCACCGCCTCCCGCTCGCGCCCTCGCCGCAGGTGACGTCACTGGCCCCCGACGCGCGGGGGGCGGGGCCTCGGGTGCCTCCGCCTCCCGCACCGCACCGTCGCTGACGGTCTTGTCATCGGGCCCCGACACGTGGTGACGCCATCAGGCCTCGACGCACGGTGAAGGGGCAGGGCGCGCGGGCGGAGCCTCAGCGGGGTCGGAGCTGAGAGGAGAAGGCGGGGAAAGGCGACGAACTGAGGGGGATCGGGGAGGGGCGGGAAGGTGGCGGCCAGAACATGGCGGAACAGATCCCTCTGTACCCGGTGCGCAGCGCGGCGGCCGCGGCCAGCTGCAAACGTGCGGCCTACTTCAGCGCGGCGGGGCCCGGGCCGGGGGCCGAGCGGTCCAGCAGGTAACGACGGTGCCGCCCCACCGTTCCGCCCAGGCGCCCCTCCCCGCCCGGCCCGGTGGGGTCCGCCCAGGGCGGCCGGCTCCGGAGCCCCGCGGGTGCGCCTGACCCGGGGAGGGCGTCCACGGTCCGGGAGGTACCCGGGCGCTGCCACGACCCTGGTGTGCCCCGGCGCCGGGCTGAGCGCAGAGGAGGAAGAGCTTCTGGTTCGGGGGGCTGCTCCCTCAAGTAGCACTGGCACCGCAGGTCGCACGGCACCGATCACGCAGTTGTTAGTTTCCGAGACCCGTACTGTGTCACCAGAGAAATCGCGAAGATGGCAGATACAACTTCCAGTTAGTTTTAGAAATACAAATCTTGTTGGGAATCACTTTCACAAGTGTAAAGAGCAAGTGAAGACATTTCAGTTTGTTTACTAAGTGCACGTTTTACTTGAACGTGTACATACAAAGTACTTTGTGTTGACAAGAATTTTTGCTCTTAATGGGAAACGGAGATTCAGAAAGGTTAAATTGTGACAGTAAGAGGTAGAATTAAACAGTGCAGACCTTTGATTTAAAATGGAGGTCTCATACCCTAGTTGGTTTTAGTTCGTAACTTATTTCTTACCCAAAGGGAAGAATACTACACTTATAAATGATAGAGTGGTTAGAAAAAGAAGCTTATAGGAAGGGGAGATAATGCTTTTCAGAGTTGTTAAAATTTTATTCCTGGGCAATTGTAGAAGCAATCAGTCTTTAGTACATAGAGTGAAAAAGTACGGGTTTCAATATCCAGTTGCTTCAGGATTCCAATTTTAGAATAGTTTTTGGTTTGGGCTAGTTGAGAGGCTGTAACATGTAGTCAAAAGAGTACATATTATGATGCTACAGAGCTGAATTGAATCTTGGTTCATTTCCGTATTAGCTAGATGTTTGATCTTAGATAACCATAGGCCCTGATTTCCTCTGCTGTAAAATGGGGGGGGGGCAGTATTTTTCCTCACAGAATTGTTGAGGGGTTACAGGAGAAGTTAGTAAGGTGCCCATTTTCAGTGTTTGGCCCTGAAGTGAAGTATCGTTTCCTTTCTTCCCTGGTATTACCTGGAAGAGTAATTGCATAGGTAATCTTCTAAGTGGTTGATTTTAGGAGATATTGTTTGAAAACGTGCCACCTATTTCACAGTCGGTTTGCATCACAGTTCACATCTGTGAGTTTTTGCCTTATATATTTTAAGGCTCAGTCATTTGGTAAATACACATTTAGGATCTCTGTGTCTTCAGGGTGGATACTTCTTTTATTGTCAGGTAATATTTCTCTTTTTGTCTCTGGAAATTTTTTTTACTCTGGAGTCTACTTTAGTAGACTGGTGTAGCCACATCTGCTTTTTGTGGATAAATGTTTGCATGGTGTTAGCATTCAACCTATCTAAGTTGTTGAATTTGAAGTTTCTGTTGGGTCATGTTTCTCCATTATTCAATCCGTCAATCTCTGTCTTTTGATTGGTATGTTTAGGCCATTATATTTCAGGTAATTATTGATACATTAGAGTTTTTTATTAAGATTTTTTTTTTTGATGTGGACCATTTTTAAAGTCTGTATTGAATTTGTTAGAATATTGCTTCTGTTTTATGTGTTGGTTTTTTGGCCCTGAGGCATGTGGGATCTTGGCTCCTGACCAGAGATCGAGCCCATACCCCCCGCATTGGAAGGCAAAGTCTTAACCACTGGGCCACCAAGGAAGCAAGGAAGTCCCCGATACATTAGAGTTTAAGTGTGCCACTTTATTAATCTGTTTTCTGTTTCTTTGGATTCTCATTCTTCTGTTTCTCTTCTTACTTTCCTTTTACTTGAACGCTCTTTTGATATCGCTACAGTGTTTTTTGGTGTAGGTCTTTGTATAGTTTTTATAGTGTTTGCTCTGTGTATTACAGTATATGTATGTGACTTATCACCATAGTGTACTGGTATCAGTATTTTACTATGTGGAGTGATTTGTGGAAACTTCATTTTGGTTCCTTTACCTCCCTTTTCCCCCCTGCAATTTAAATATCATGTCCTGAGTATCAGATGGTGTTATACTTTTTGTTTAAATCATCAAATATGGTTTATAAAACTTGTGATGATAAGGATAGGTTATTGTACGTACCCATATTTTTGCTCTTTTTTGTTCTTCCTTCCTGATGTTCCAGGATTCTCTCTTTTTTCATTTCCTTTCTATGTCAAGACCTTCCTATAGCCCGTCTTGAGATTTCGTCTTAGAAGGTCTTTATTTCTCCTTTATTCCTGAAAGATAGTTTTATTGGATGTAGAATTCCTGGTCACTTCTTTTCTTAGTACTTGGAAACTCTTGTTCCACTTCCTTCCAGCCTTCATAGTTTCTGCTTAGAAGGCCACTGTCATTCAAATTGTAGGTAACGCATCATTTATGTCTGGCTGCTTTCACGTTTTGATGTATGTTGGTATGATTTCTTTGGGTTTAACTTGTTTGGTAGTCACTGAGCTTCTTGAATCTGTTGTATTTTGTTTCCCCCAATTTAGGGAGTTTTTAGCCATTATTTCTTCAAGTCCTCTTTCATTTCCACCCCTTTCTCCTCTTCTTTCTGGACTCCAGTGATACAAATGCTGGATCTTTTGTTAGTTTTACGTAATTCCTTTAGGCTCTTTTATTTCCCAGTTTCTTTTCTCTGTGTTGTTCAGACTGCGTAAATTCTATTTACTTGTTCTCAAGTTCCCTAATTCTGTCCTCTGTCATTTTCACTCTACTATAGATCCCATCCAGTGGGGTTTTGTTTCTACTATTTTATTTTTAAGTTTTATAATTTCTCTTTGTTTCAAGAGAGTTTGAAATTGATTGTTGAAGCATACTTATGTTCGGTGCTTGAAATGCTTGTTACCTAATTCCAGTATCTGAGTTCATCTTAGTTTTGGTGTCACTTGATTGTCTTTCCTAATTCCCACTGTCAGTGTTTTGGTTCTTTGTACGATGGCTGGTTTTTGATTGTTTCCTGGATATTTCATCTATTAGGAGAATGTGGGCCCTATTTGTATCTTTTATTTTAGTAGATGATCACCCTGTTTAGATTTAGCACATAGGTCCTGGCCTACCTTTGTCGGCTGTGGTTCCAATAACAGTTTAATTCTCAGGGTTGTGATTTTTGGTGTGCTTGGTTTATGTGGTGCTACTGGAGCTCTTACTTGTCTCTACTTACGCTGCTGAGGAAAAGAAGGGATTCCCCTAGGCCCAGTGTCTTTTGGTGAGAGGTGGTTGTGTCATCCCACGGGGATGGTGAGGCTGTGTTGGCTGGGCAGTGGCTGTGGACGTGCCCCCTCCATATGTGCCCCCTGACTTTCCTGGTGTGTCTTGGTAGGAGAGGAGACTCAGCACCACTGTGGCCAGGAGGCTTTCTGTGCCCAAATCCTTTTTTCTGGCACCCCTGGCTGCTCTGGCATCTTGGGGAAGAGGAGAGGCCATGGATAGAAGCCATTTCCTGAGCTAGCTGCTTCAGTCGTGGGGTTGCACTTGTTGGTGCTGCTGGCCGCCCCCCAGCCCGCTGAGGGAGGGATGCCTCAGGCTCATGGGGACACGGAGGCTTCCTGAGGCCTCTAACCTCTTGTTGTGGCAGGGACCCTACCTGGTGCCACCTGGATGCCCTCGTGTCCCTGGGTGGGATAGGGGAGTCTCAGGCCCGTGGGGAAGGATGCCAATTCCCATGGCTACTTGTCAATCTTATCTCGCTGGTGGTGGTGGACTCTTGTTCTGCCAGGGGAGTAACGGCCTTCCTGGGCTGCCTTTTCTTGCTAGGTTGGGAGTTAGGCAATGCTGGGCCTGTGTCCTTCCTTTTGTCCGGCGGGGGCATGTAAGACGTCCTGCCACTGTGTTCCTCCAGTTCTGCATCGCAGATCAGCCCAGCTCTCTTCCTCTCACTGCTGCCTTCTTCCCACCTTCCAGAGCTCTCCTGTGGTTGGCTCTTGCTTTATTTCCAAGGTTTACAGTTGTACTTAGGTGAGAGGAGCAGGGAGAAACGGATTGTGACCGGAAGTGGTGCTTCTGCGTTATTTTGTGAAGTTTGGCTTTCGTTGTATTTTATCATGGTAACATTTACGTATAGTTTAAAAAGTTAATTGGTGGTAAAAGGCTTATGATAAGATACTGTGGCCCTCTACCCCTCATCTTCATTCTCCCTTATCCCAGCCTCTCATCCCCCAGGCAGTTACTTTGGACTCTTCTAGCTCTTCCTTCTGGCACTTACACATCTCCGTTATTTCAGTGGCGTTATTCCTGACTTTGTCAGCATCTGAAATGACTATTTCTAAAGGCTTCCTTGATCTCAACCCCAGCCAGGATAAAATGGGATGCTCCTGCCAGGCTCCTGTAGGACTCTCTTTCCCCTCATACCACAGATTGCACTTGACTATAAGTGCTTCTCTTCTCATTAGACTTTAAATTCCATGAATAGAGTGGCAGTGATGGTCAGATTTTACCCCTGTTACCTGGCCCCACGAGATGCGTAGGGAAATGTTCCCTTCTCTTTTACTTTCTGGAAGACATTGTGTAAAGTTGGTGTTACTTCTTTAAATATTTGCTATTTTCCAGTGAAACCATCTGGACGTGGCGATTTCTTTTTAGGGTGTTTTAATTTAAAATTCAGTTTCTTTAATAGTTATTGAGCTATTCAGATGACCTATTTTCTATTTGGTGAGTTTTGATAGTTTGTGCCCCATGACCAATTGGCTTGTTTCAGGTAAGTTGCCGTATTTATGTGTGTAGAGTTGTTTGTAGTAGTCCCGTATTTCCCTTTTGATGTTGTTTCATTCAGGTGTTGGTGGTTTGTGCCTTCACTTCTATTTGTTGGTCGTTCCTGCTAGAGGTTTGATCTTTTCAAAGATCCATCTTTATTTTACTTATTTTTTCTATTGTTTTCTTTTTTTCAACTTCATTAATTTCTGCTCTTTATTTTTTCCTTCCTTTGCTTACATTAGGTTTATTTTTCTCTTCCTCTCATTTCTTAAGGTGAGAGCTT